GCAAAACTCTGCATTTGAACAGTCAATAGCAAATACTTAAAATAATAACAAAACAGTAGCTGATTCAAAAGCGCCAGATTGTCATAGCAAAGTCAGAATTACCTCCTCTTCTAGGTTCACGAAACTGTCCATAAAATGCATTGCTGTTCTGTTGTAAGTCATCTTAAAGATTTCTAAATGCATCTACTTCCAGAAGGCCAAATAAAGTGCTTTTGCTTTCGCCTAGAAACACACAGCGTCTCCCTGACATCACTGCTTCAACACTAACTGTGGTTACTGAAACCACGCCTTCTTTCTTTGCGTGCACATTTGGGCGGCATTATGCAAATATTTCCACATAGTGACCTAGATATGTGGGGGCGTGTTAGAACGAGCCGTTTTAGGTAGGCGTGGCAGAGTCTTAACTTTGATAAAGAATATCTCTTTGGTTTTGAGACTTTAGTCTTTGCAACTTCAGGGATCTTATCTATGCACAATCAGCTTGTAACACTCCAAAGAGAAAGGAAAACTTGAAATCGATTTGACCCCTTTAAGTTAGAAAACCATTATTACTGTATTTTTGTTGTTCTATAACCACTCAAAATGTCCAGCTTTTAAAAAAAAAAATTCATGGTTATACAAACATTAAGGGAACAATCTTTTTTTTTTTTTTTTTTTCATTTTGCAAACATTATGGGTATGTTACTGTTGAATGATATATAAATAACGTTTTTGTGCTGAAGTTGTGAGAACATTATTAAAGGTCAGATAACTTTGAACAAGCATTCTATAAATGTTAATTGAAGAATGTGTGTTCATAGCTTTAAGAAAACCTTATCGGAACGTTAGCGAAGCTCTGAGAAAACTTTCACTGTAACACTAAAAAGCTTTAGTGTCACAGAATGCTCTTTAAAAGTGTGGATTATATTGATCATAAAGTAGTAAAAATCCCATTATTATTATTATTTTTTTTTTCACAGAGAAATAGATTTTTAACCATTTTTGTTTAACCTTTCTAGACAGACCTACCATGAGCTCAGAGGTTGTTAATCTTTGGTATATGCCTCTCTAGAAGCCATAAGTCTGAATGATTTCAATACAATTTAAATCAAATTGAATTGCTAAATTCTAGGTGAAGAAGTACACTACCCACAAAACTTAAAAGAGAAATCCACCAATCTGAACAGCTGCTGTTGCACTGTAAATGAGCTCCATAAACCATTCTGAATAATGCAAACAAGTCATTTCCTATCATACAACAATGACTTTTCAAATATGTTTAACTTAAAATAAGATTTTATAAATGTGGGGATTTATTACAGAACTGATTCGTTTGAGGTTTTAGAGAAAAAGAATGAGGAAAATACATACAGATCCAAGACTGCCGTGAGCAGTTATTATTGCGCTGTACTGAGTGTGTTTAAGGTTACTACTTTCACTGTGGCAAAATGGATGACAGACAGAATTTCATCTTGCATACATTCTCTCTCCAGTGCAGATCTGTTCTGACATTTAATTATTCTAAAACATCGCTGCTGCTACTTCTTTTCTCAGACTCTCTGAATAGGGATGTAGAATAGGTTATAACATAGGCTCTTGCAGAATATGTGCTTTATAAGTACTAATAAACACCCAATATGTTAATAATAGGCATGCTAATAAACAACTAGTTAATAGTTAGAATTGGTCCCTATACTAAATTGTTACCCATTATTTTAGCACCATATCGAAAACACCATTCCAGTGTTAATTTCGTCAACGACATTTTTTTCACCGACGACAACGAAACGATAACGAACTAAAACTCTTTTTAAATGGCAAAATCTATGATGTAAATCTATTGACATTTTCGTCAACGAATAAAAACGAGACGAAAATGTTAGGAAGGGACAATTTTATGGGCTTACATTTCTGCCATAATTCTGCGCGCGAAAGATCATATTTTGAGCGCACAAAAGTGCATTTTGCACGCACGCGATCTGAGTTTGTGGAGAAAATGTTCGTTTCGCAAAGAAAAAAGTCTTTCGAGCGCACGGAAATCAATTTTGCATTTAAAATATGTTTTTGGATGTGTGCAGACCCTCTCTTTTGCACGTGCAACGTTCCACTAGCTTACTCACCTGATGCCCCCCCCCCCTTCTGTGCTCGCTAAATGCCAACAGCTCCCGTGCTCAACACAACCCAGCGTTACATTGTGCCATAATTTCAGCCAATCAGAGACCGAGGCTGCTAAATTCTGATTGGCTGGCTTGACAACCAATCACAAGACTCCCTGCATTACCGACAGAGGAAGAGGGAAAATACATAGTGGAAGAGACGTTTGTTCAATGGTTTGAACACTATCAAAGTCCCTATATAAAGTCTTTGACAATTTATTTTCAAGTTCAAATGTCTACCACACGTAAGTAGCTTATTTTTAATCAACATCAAATCGTATTATTACATAATGGCATGTCCCAGTGTTTCCTACACCTCAATTAACTGGTAAGTTAGTTCTAACTTCTTACTGAACTGCAGGTTATGTAATTAGTGGCATTTAAAAGTGACTGAGCTGGGGTCTCTAATGTTACATGTTTTCAGAAATGAAGATGGACAGACTTTTCACCTTTTAATTAGTTAAGTGTGTAAGCAAGGTACAAAACTTGCCTCTGAATATTTAAAAATAAAACCTATCAAATAAACGCAGAAATGTAATGTAATAACTGTAAAGTAATAATCAAAGTACTTGGAAATGTAAAAATTAAAACACTTTCTGTTATCTTTGCATACATGTCATTGTTACCAACATAATTTTATTTATTTTGCAGTGAGGGAGAACAAGCCTGCATCTCAATGTGCATACTATCCATCCTAAATTGTGTGTAAGATTAGCAATCCCGTCTTTATTTTTTAGCACAATAGTTTTTTAACAGAACATCTCTGTTGTGAATGTTTTTGTTAAAATAATTTCAAAGATATTAAGTATTTTGATTATTACTTTACAGTTATTACATTACATTTCTGCGTTTATTTGATAGGTTTTATTTTTAAATATTCAGAGGCAAGTTTTGTACCTTGCTTACACACTTAACTAATTAAAAGGTGAAAAGTCTGTCCACCTATATAACCATTGGTATTTCATTAAAATTAAGACAATGTTCTTGTTTTTTTATGAGAAGTGGTTTTATTTAATTTTAACATAAGGGCATGTTGTGTGTCACTGCAGTTAAATCGGTGTCTATCATGATAAAACCTTAATATCTATCCTATATAATGAGTTTGGACATTTTAGAGAAATGCTTAATAAATGCATTACACTGTAACTAAACCCATTAGATTTTAGCCGACTAAATTTACTGTAGATTTAGTCGACTAAAATCGTATGATATTTAGTCGACTAAAACTAGACTAAAACTAAAACCAATTCAGATTACTAAAATATGACTAAAACTAAATGGCATTTTAGTCAAAAGACTATGACTAAAACTAAATCAAAATTTGCTGTCGAAATTAACACTGAATCATTCCCCACATCAGCACAAAACATCATATGCTTGATTTATGAAGTCAGGTTTCAGCAAATCTCTCTCCTTCATAACACTTTTAATATCAGTGCTTGTTGGTAAATCTTTCTATTGATGTCATTTTTCAGTGATTATGTTGTGATGGATTGCTATGGTCTATGAATGAACAGTCCTTATGATAATGTCAACTTTTAGTTTAGTCTTCCTGCCTGTTGTTCATTCAAGATCAGCATCTGACAGCAGCATGTACTGAAGCGGTGCTTACTGACTCCTCCAAGCTCAGTCAGAAAATGCCCAAAAAGAGACTTTGCAGATATGTTTAAGTATTTTTAAGTGTTGACTGACTGATTATTCAGTTGAGAGGCTCAAGAATGACAAGGAAAATGGTGTAATTATAACAACATGCAATGGTCCAAAGGTCTGTGTCAACACTGAAAATCTGAATTTAAACCTGTTAATGAATCATAAAATAAAGAAGAAATACTTAAGATTCAGCTAGAGTGCTGCTATTAAAAGGCTATTTATTTGTCATTTGAAAAAACTCATGTTTTCAATTAAATTAACATTCATAAAAAATGTTTTCAAATTTGAAAAGAGATGCAAAAATCAAAGATTGTTCACAAGTGGTCTCTGACTTTTAGACCCCACAATACTTTACAGACACATAACCAGTGTGGGATATAGAGGACAGATGTCAAAACAGTGCGTTCTAACCAGCTGAATATTCAGAGTCAGTTCATATTGTTTCCCCATTTGTTTGCTCCAGTCCTGAGTGCCATTGCACCATGTGCTATAATGACCCATGGCACTTCATCAAATGGTTTTGAATTTAAATTATTCAGGTGCTTACGCAAAACCCCAAAGCAAAATTAGACCAGTGTAAGTTTGGCACAAAAAGGTATTGGTTTTATACAAGGGGTCAGTAAATACTGAACCATTATTCTCACACTGAATTAATAATATGTATGCACACAGCTGTCAGTTATCAGTATTGTCCATCAAAACAAGCCTCTATGGTGTTTAATGATCTCATGGCTGGAACCTCTCTTAGAATTAAGGATTTTACACATGCAGCTCTCTGCTGGGAATGTGCATAGCCAATTAAATATTCTACACAGATAACTGCAGATCGATTGCAGAAGAACAGACCTGAGGTAAGTTTAAGGTCACAGCCAGCTGCTATTCTTCAAACTGTCAGAACACAAATTGATTTGTGCCTTTTGAAGTTGGGACCTCATCATGAAGATGTGCTCACTATGCCTTTTGCACCACCAGCAAGCAAATAGAAAACAACTATGTGCTTTTCACATTTAAACAAAATCTGAAGCAAATTATATTAACTGATTAAGCCTGCAGGCAACTGAAGCTGTAAAAGACTCTCAGTGATACTAAAACCTTTTATCAATTTGTAAATATTGTTAGATTATTTGATCATAGATGTTTAAAGTTGACCAATCTATCATCTATCTATGCATTACATAGTTTACATTGTTACGTTATTCATTTGAATCATTCACTCAACTGATATTTCTTTCATCAATACTTATTTAGGAACTAAACACAAGAATGACTCATTGAATCATTCACTTAACCGATTTGCTTAATAATACTGATTTGTTCAAAATACTATTGCACATTGTTTGTAGACGCACTTTGACTTTGTTTAGAACTATTTTCGCTGATAAAGTAAAATAGATAGCAAAAATTGATGAAGTAACTGGAAATATTGTCTCTAAAAATGTAATTTAATCAATATTAATAATTGATCTTGCTTGTGAGAAATTCCTTAAAAGGGATAGTTCACCCAAAACTGAAAATTCTGTCATTAATTACCGTCATGTCGTTCCAAACCCAAAGACCTTCATTCATCTTTGGAACACAAATTAAGATATTTTTTTATGAAATCCGAGAGCTTTCTGACCCTCCCATAAACAGCAAGGAACTACCATGTTCAAGACCCAGAAAGATAGTAAGGACATCGTTAAAATAGTCCATGTGACATCAGTTGTTCAACCATAATGTTATGAAGCTAGGAAAATACTTTTTGTGTCCAAAGAAAAAATAATGACTTTATTCAACAGTTTCTTCTCTCGTGACTGACATGGAAGAGAAGAAATTGTTGAGTTGCGTTGCTGTCTATGGGAGGCTTTTGGATTTCCTCAAAAATATCTTAATTTGTATTCCAAATATGAATGAAGGTCTTACGGGTTTGGAACGACATGAGGGTGAGTGATTAATGACAGAATTTTCATTTTGGGGGAACTATCCCTTCAACGAGGACATCTTTGGGAAGAATCAAGGCATAGGTTAATATGCCTTGTTTATTTACTCCTGTTTGCATATGTGCTTATGTGTCTACTTTTTGATATGTTTGATCCACTGTAATTAAAATTTTAGTAAAATATTCACCAGGATTTGACCTTCCTTTTTTGAAACTGTCAAGCCCTCTAGCCATTGGCAAGCATTGAACACTGCCAGTCCAATCTGGCATGGGTTCAGAACAACAAATCAACAAATCATTTACAAATGTGACTTAGCACACTGCTGAAAAAATTAAAATAAATAAATACAAATTATCAGCACCTGCTCGTAAGTGATTTACAGCTGGCTTCCAGTTCAACCAAACTGATAAAAGTCAACTGCAGAATGACTCTATGACCACATATTTATTTTATCTTAGCACCTAAGCAATCTGAAGCACCCGCCATTGATTTTACCAAGCTAATGAAATTATACAGCTCTGAGCCAATCAATGACAATCTCTGTTGTTCCGCTTTAGATCTACTGTGCTGATGGCCAATACTCTTCCACTCAACCTGCGATCATGTGATCACATGAACATTTTCAACGTATGTCAACAGTTCTTTGTCACACTGCAAACGGTAGAAAGACATAATTAACATGAACATTCAAAAAAAGGCTGTGTAAAAAAAAATGTCATTCTGTAGGCTGTGGGGAAAACGTATCACAGGCTATGTGAAAGGTATATTATCTAGCTCTTTTCATGACACTTCCAAGCACTAGCTGTCCACACAAAGCTATTCTGAATGATAAAACGGCACCATGTTTATGTTATTCTAGTAAGTTTTCTGCTTCTGCTATACAAACAGGATCTGCGACAGGTTACCACTGAAGCATTCAAGCTGAAAACACGCTGCACTCAGAATATCGCATATTCACAAAAGCAATCTTCTCTCATTTGTTTTGTGCAGGGTGTGTCTATTAGAGAGAATTAGTATGTGCTGCACTATTTAACAGGTTTCCTTTGAGGCATTCCATGCCGGGGAAAATGAACCTACTGTAATTGTAGCTGATACAAAGTGCTCTTTGAGAAGAATTCTTTCTAAGAATTCAGAATAAAGCCTTTTAATAGGATACTTAACCCTACAACACGTAGCTGCATTTACCCCCCAGAATGCATATGTGAGAGATGCAATTAGATGCATTTTTATTATAAAACACCTTGTTTTGTCAATGAAAATGAACAGGGATCATTTAGATTGAGTGTGTGTGGGTGGGTAGGTTGATATTTCAGGTTTTGCCTTCATTGTGGGGTCTAGCCAACAGTCCCCATGAGTTAAAAAAGCATAATAACCATACTAAATTATTTATTTCTAAATCAATTTAAATCTAAAAATGCAAAAAACCTCTCCGTTAAGAGGTAGAAAGAGTATAAACAGTATAAAATATGCATAGTAAAAAGACAACAGAAGTTAATGGAAAATTCAAAAGAAGTATAGGTAACATTTTATAATAAGACTCGTTTTTAAACATTAGTTTCCATCAGCTGTCTCTATATATAATTATAAAGGCAATGGTAAATACTGTTCATGTTCAGATTTCCATTTAGTAAGAAAGTAAATAGCAAGCTGTCATTTAGCAGATGCTTTTATCTAAAACGATTTCCAGAGTACATGCAGTGACACTCCCACTGGAGTAACCAGAGGTTAGATATACAGTATCTACTTGTTTATTTATAAATGAGGACAAACCACTTCTTCTTTTTCAATGTAAAATTAACCATAATTACAGACTAACTGAAGCCATCAAAGAAAACTATTGCATTTTAAGAATGTAAAAGCAGAAATAAAATATGAAATCATAACATCAACATTACAATAGATATTATATATACGACATATTTACATATTTTAATTCTGTAATATAATACTGTATATTTTATCGTTGTTTATTTATCATTCGTGAACACTAGTTAACCACATTACTTAACATGCTAACACTGAACAATACTTCTAGACTAGGGCATTTATCAATCGTAGTTAAGCTTAATGTTTAACATTTACTAAAACTTTTATTAAATGGAATTAAATGGTTTTTCTATTAACATTTAAAAAATATAATTTTATGAACTTACCTTAACAAAGCTTAATAAATGCTCTAAAAATATATTTTTCATTGTTAGTTTATGTAAGCTAATGCACTAAATGCTCTTTTGTTGATTTTTTTATTGCTTCCATTGTCCTCATTTGTAAGTCGCTTTGGATAAAAGTGTCTGCTAAATGTCTAAATGTAAATAAAATAAAAAATAAATGTAAAAACAGTTGGTTCACATGATCAAAGATACCTTGAAAAATTTGTGGAAAGTTAGATGAAAAACACAAAACTAGTCGTATGCATTTTAGGGTTAATGAGAATGATTACAATCATTAATTGGTTAGTCAGAGGAACAAACTAGAAAGCAAAGGCAATTAAAAAGTGGCCCTCTTAATTTCCCCACAGATAATGTGCTGTGGTTAAATATAAGAAAAGACTCTGAAGCTCTAATTGCATTTCAAACAGATCAACGGTGTATTACAATGGCCAGGCATTTATCCATGACTATCAACCATGAGTCGTCCACTAGCTGAGGTCAGGCTTTCCATCTCCAAAGATTAGGCAGTGACAAATATATCCGTGCTGGAGATTTAACCACAGGATGTTTCATTAGAGATCAGAGAGATTTGGTTTTGATGTCTGCTTGAACATGTGCAGTCCTTGTTAGTTTAGAGTGGGGCCTAATGAACACGCCATAGATGCATCTCGATGCTTTGTGAAAGTGTGTATGTGTGTGTGTTACATTGACGTTTGAGCTGACCACCCATTAGAAACAAGCCCTAAATTATTGAGCACAGACTCCAAGAAACCACTTCATATGAAATAATCCTCAGCAGCATTGTGAAGACAGCCATTAATAGTAAACCGTATTGATTCACTATGTGCCATGCACAGTCAATGAACAGAGCGGAGTGTGCAGAGAAAATGAAAGATTTAAACAATGCCTATTTTCATAACGAAGAAAATCTTGGGAAAATTGTGGACGTTAGAAGCACATAAGAGCTGAGTAACAGCAGCAAACTTGGGCAGAAGCTGGTGAGAACTTCATTCTTCTCATGCCCCTGGGTTGTGAAGGACAGTGTTGTGAAGACCTTGTTGGAAAGGGCAGATAAAAAAGGCTGCAGACGTGATCCTCACCCCAGACAAGCACTAAGAGAGCAAAAATGTATGTTGGGGACATACTACCAATTTCTTTATCAGACAATTAATGCTATAGTCGCGGCAGGTGTGTGTCTAATAGAGAGGAAGCATCTCCAATTGTTGAGGAGGATTTTTCATTTAATTGAGTGTGTTATAATAAGTGGCCGTCCGGTGCTGGGATGTTTTATTGAGTGGTTGCTGCAGTTGTCAACAGTGGCGGAAGGCAACAGAGGCAATCTTCACACAGCTTTCAGAATCAAGATCCATGTCTTGATCGCTTTTTCTGTGGTTCCCAACCTGTTTCAGTGGCATCACAAAACAAATCGCTAATAAATGTGTGCCTGGTCCAGTTCACTCTATATATCCATACAGCTGCAATTTTGGTTTATTAAAACAAAAAGTCATATTTTGACACGACAGAACACATACTTAATACAAAAACGTTACCACTAGACCACAACTACTTGATGAAATCATTAATATTAGATATGTCACAAGTTCATCTGCGCACAGTTTTACATAAAAATAGGCATTTAGTGTGCTACTCTGTTAAAGTTAGCCTTAAGCTAGAAATCACTGGATAGTTCCAGTCCTTGATTTACAATTAGTTGAGCCACGTTCAAAGCCGTAAATTATTCTAGAAATATACACCGGTGACCTCATTACATCAGTATTACAGCGCCAAATGTTTTAGAACATCAGATTTTGTTGTGAATTTTGACTTAATGGGTGGGGTAAACACATGCTAACTGTTTTATAGAAGCAATAAGCCCCATGAAGCCATGGTTTACATATTGTGACTAACAACTATTCAAATCCAAGGATTTTTAGGCTGCATTAATTAGGTCAACCGGAACCGGGAACACTTCTCATAACACCCGATGTACTTGCTACATCTTTAGAAGAATGGCATCTACGCTAATATTAGTCTGTTTCTCTCTTATTCCGAGGTCACCGTAGCCACCAGATCCAGTCTGTGTCCAGATCAGATGGTCACTGCAGTCACCCGGATCCAGTACGTATTCAGACCAGATGGTGGATCAGCACCTAGAAAGGACCTCTACAGCCCTGAAACAAAGCAGCTTTGCTGTAGTAAATTCACTGTAAACCAAGACTTCTTGGGAATTATTGCTTCATTTTCTTGATGTATTTCTGGTCTTAAAGGCATAGTTCACCCAAAAATGAAAATTCTGTCATTAATTACTCACCCTCATGTCGTTCCAAACCTGTAAGACCTTCATTCATCTTTGGAACACAAATTAAGATATTGTTGATGAATTCCCAGAGCTCTCTGACCCTCCCATAAACAGCAAGGGAACTACCATGTTCAAGACCCAGAAACGTAGAAAGGACATCGTTAAAATAGTCCACGTGACATCAGGGGTTCAACCGTAATTTTTTGAAGCTACGAGAATACTTTTTGAGCACAAAGAAAACAAAAATAATTACTTCATTCAACAATTCGTCTCCTCTGCGTCACCCTGGCATCATTTTGGAGAGTATCACGACGTATGCGCATGCTTTGATCTGAAGGTCTTATGGGTTTGGAACGACATGAGGGTGAGTAATTGATGGCAGAATTTTCATTTTTGGGTGAACTAACCCTTTAAGCCACCTTACCACCATCTCCGACTTTCACATTTGATTGTCGCATTTGACCCCTAGTGGCAGTCACACAGAACTTCTAAATCACCATGGTAAAATTAATAATGAAATGTGTCTCTAGATCTTCACTAATCTCATAGTTTTGACCACCAGTCAAGGTGGTCCCTTAAGAAAATAGCTATGGTTTCATTACGAATTAAAAAAAAAAAAGGTTACTATAGTTAAACCATGGAAACCACAAATTAAATATTACACTACCAAAGTGAAAAATAAATATACTAAAATGTATTTGAAGCGCATTTATTTCACACTAAGTATACTACAAATACAGTACATTTACATATTTATGTAGGCTACTTAATAAAATTACCCTGCTATTCTACTTGTAGTATGCTAAACTGGTATGCTTAAAGTCTGCTAAATTGGAACAATTCATTTTGTACGTAGGCCCTGTCCCGAATGGCACTTCACACGCACTTACAATGGCCACCATGTGTGCTTGTCTGTTAAGTCTATGAGACCGTAGGGTGTCCCATTCTTCATTTTAGCTTTCAGAAGGGTGCTCGCGAGCGCCCCCTTTGTGGCCACTTTGCGCCCTCGATGCACACTTCTGCCGAGCCCGCACTGAGGCGAGCTCCACAGTAGACTTCTACCAGACAGTCAAAGCGGCATTACATCACGAAAGTGTGGACTCAGAGGAAGACCGTGAGGGTTTAGGGTGCGATTTGGGACAGGGCCTTAATGTACTTGAATTGCGTGGTAGTAGTGCTAAAGTCCAGCTAAAGATATATTGAAGTATATTTAATTGTGCTAAAGTGAAATTTGCAAGTATACTTCAGGTACACTTTAAATATCTTGCATTTAAAGACCGATATTCAAAGATCATACAATCCTTATTAATAGGGACATTAAAACACATTTTAGGCTTAATATTAAGAAATGTGCATTGTGCACAAGAAGTACTCCAAAAAAAGTTTAATTACAATTTTTATATCAGTCTCGAGTGAAATGTCAATAAATATGTTAATAGATTTTAAATAAGTATAAAAAATGTTTTTTAAATGCATATATTACTTTTTTACTAGGGTAACCATAGTTTAACCATGGTATTTGTAGTAAAACTATGGTTATACAACTGGTAATCAAAACATCAAAAATAAAACATGGGTACTACACTTTTACTATAATTAAACCTTGGTTAATTTTCGTAAGGGGTCGCATGGTCTAGCCACAAATAATTCAACGAATCCGAATCTCAAACCGGATCCAAACATTCTGCATATGCCACATTTGATCTGAACTCCCTGCATCTCTCAAACTGCTTTGAAATGAAATGAATTCCAGTCTGACTGGAAGAAGGCTTTACTGTGAATAATCCAGTGCATGTTATTTCAAAGGAAAAACATCAGTAATGTTTCAAAATAACTACAGAATCTAAAACTTGCATTTCCTCTGTAATGACCTTCATCTTCTTTTGATGTCACTTACAGTAGACCGTGTGGACTATTGAATAATGCTGGCTATTAACCAAGTAGCAAATAGCTAGGTATTGTTTTAGCAAACCTGCATTCATTCTGGCTCCATTTACATTTTTTTTCGCATAGCACTTGTTAATGTAACATTACTGAAGTAAAATGGCATGGGAACAGCAATTCACTTCGATTTTAAGTGATTTTGGATTTTATTGTTTACACAAGCAGTTGCTATTCTGCAGACCTAATCAATAGACTATTGTGTGAAAACAGTAAAAGATATCATTATCTCTTTTATTATCCTGCAACACTGTCCCCGGCACTGTGTGTGTAGAACAAGGTAACGCCCATGCCGCACTAGCATTCTGATGATTTGCATTTGTGGCTCAGCGGCAAATGTCACACTTAGCATGGCTAATGTGTTTATGGCTATCTACTGATGTTTGTGCTATTGGGTCCTGTGATTTACACACAGGATCAGCGACCGGTTACCACTCGAGTGTTCAAGTTCAAACAAGCCTGGCGTAACGAATTGCGCGCGCCAGCCACAGGAGCGAGAGAGGCACCGACAATGCGTTCCTTTGAAAGAGACGCTCATTAAAGCACTCCTCTTTGTTTTGGTCTCGCCATTAAAGCTAGCCGGCATTCCTGCTCCTCATAGCCCCAAGCCTCTGCTTTAACGTGTCATTTTAATTGGCACTCTTTATTCTTTTTCTAGTGTTCCTTGGTTATTTTTATTCAATGCCTCTTCTTGCACATAAACAATTACATTTCTGAAGTGGTGTCTCTTCTCTCCTGTCACTCTCTGGTGGCATGGTGACGTGTGAGATTTGGGACACAGATTGAACTCCTGCTAAATCGTAAATGAATGTTTTGGCACTTTGGCGATATTTACAGACACTACCTCATTGCCCAGCGACCACGTTGTGAATTGAATTGCGAAAGATGTTAATCAGATTTGCCGTTTCGCTTGTTTCCTGCAGAACTGGGGGAAACCGGTTCTTACTTGATGTGCTACCGACTTCTCCTGTGGCTATTTATTTTATGAAGATAACTCCAAATAAATCTGCTGCAGGTTCAAAGATGGTATGATTTGGAGAGCAGAGAGTTTAAGATGTCAAAGATAAGCTCTGACATTTCTTTTGTTGAATGTGAAAACAGATTGATTTCATCAATTTTTCTCTCAGTGTTGTATTTTCTCCTGAATAAAACACATTTTCTGAAACATTTTAATTCCTATATTTCTGACAGACTACAAGTAGAAAATGAATGGCAAATTTAATATATATTTTTTACTCGAGAAAACAAACATCGTGACACATGTACACATTATTAACTCCGTCTCTCCTTCAGAAAAGGTAAATAAATATTTCACCTGCATAACAAGATGATGAATTATTATGAAGCTCATATTTTCAGCTTGAATTCAAACAGTGGTTCGACAACAGTCATCAATTATGCTAAAAAATAACACGGCATATAATTAAATATGTCTGAGCATGTTTCACTTGTTAATTATTGTCTGTGAAGTCTGAAAAAAAACAAAAACAAAAGTTATATCAAAAGGAAAGAGAAAATATGAGTTTCCGTCCTTGATTCGGTTTCATCTTATATTATTCAAGGTGTGTTAGTGGATAACTTGACAGACTGTAAAATTACATCAGTGATAAATAATTACTCCAAAATGGTGCTGTTATCAAAATCAAATTAAAATTCAAATGGAGGGGGGAAAAAAATGAGAAAGCAGAATGCATACACAGGCACGCACATGCTCGCACAGACATACCCACGCGCTTACGTACGCACACAGCATACCTAATGCGCGATGGCCCTCAGTTGCAACGCTCTATGAATACAGCACCTGGAATTGATAGACTCTCAGAACATGCAGTCTGTGCTACACGCAACACCAACAGGCAGAGAGAGCACTATACATAAAATGACCGCCATTTCTTTCAGTCAATGAATCATAAAACCTCCTCTAATGGCTAAAAATTGGCATATTATTCCTTGAATGAGTGATGAGAGCTTCGGCGGAGGGGGGTACATTCACTCAAACGGTCGGTAGTGTGTAGTATAAGGGGAGAGTAACATGCACTGACATCTACATCAACATAACACGAGATCCCCACTGTTAGAAACTATACCATTGTGGTGAACAACGCAGGGTTTCACAGCAAAAGTATGACCGCTGCTTGGAGATTAATTGCTAAGTGAATCGGCTACCCCACATGCACTAGCTGTGAAAAAAAATATGCATAAAATATGCTTAAGTGTAAATTGAATGTAATGTTTTCGGACACTTAACTGCATGTTATTTGCAATTAAATAAAATGTTATTATTGTTTAAATATATATTAAACGGATAGTTCACCCAAAAATGAAAATTACCCCATGATTTATTTACCCTCAAGCCATCCTTGGTGTATATGACTTTATTCTTTCAGATGAATACATTCTTTATATTAAAACATGCCCTGGCTCTTCCAAGCTTTATAATGGCAGTGAATGGGGTTTAAGATTTAGAAGCCCAAAAAACTGCATCCATCCATCATAAAGTGCTCCACAAAGCTCCAGAGGGTGAATAAAGGCCTTCTGAATTAAACGGATGCGTTTGCGTAAGGGGAAAAAATCCATATTTAAAACTTGATAAAACGTAATCTTTAGCTTCCGCTAACTGTCGTACATCTTAAGTACACTCTTAAAAATAAAGGTGCTTTAAAAGGTTCTTCAAGCTTAGAAGCCCAAAAAACTGCATCCATCCATCATAAAGTGCTCCACAAAGCTCCAGAGGGTGAATAAAGGCCTTCTGAATTAAACGGATGCGTTTGTGTAAGGGGAAAAAATCCATATTTAAAACTTGATAAAACGTAATCTTTAGCTTCCGCTAACTGTCGTACATCTTAAGTACACTCTTAAAAATAAAGGTGCTTCAAAAGGTTCTTCAAGCGATGCCATAGAAGAACCCTTTTTGGTTCCACAAAGAACCATTCAGTCAAAGGTTCTTTAAAGAACCATCTCTTTCTTACCTTTTTGTAATCTGAAGAACCTTCTTTCGCCACAAAGAACCTTTTGTGAAACAGAAAGGTTCTTCAGATGTTAAAGGTTCTTTATGGAACCATTTAGACAAAAATGTTCTTCTATGGCATCGTGAAGCACCTTTATTTTTAAGAGTGTAACTGTCAGGACTTATGTACATCTTTATATATAATTGCATAATGTTTTTGTCTTTGAGATATACAACATACTGCCAAATGAATTGACAAGAACTTATGGTGATCTTAAATATACTTTAATAGCATTTCTACTAGAACTTTTGTCATAACTTTAAATATATTTGTAATTGTACATTTGTAATGATAAAGTTACACTGTAAATATGGATGCCAGTAATTTACTGTAAAAATGTTTACAGTATTAGTACTGTAATTGCATTTACAGTACAATAATGTCTAATGTCTTTACTGCATTCTATTTACAGTATTATTACCGTATTTTCATTTACAGTATCAGTACTGTAGAGTTTATTTTCATTTAGTTTAAAAATAATTTACCTGTAAAAAACAATCCAATTGTGGTACTGCACTGTAAACCATGATTATTACCATACACCTACACCTACAAGGAAGGTACATAATTAATTGATAATCCATTATATTCAAATTATTAAAGCTCCATTTTTTACAATGCATTCTCAATCAGTAGAGCAAAGTGTTGAAATAATGGGTTTGATTCCAGGGGCAGTTCTACAGTGAGTGGATATCCAGGGCTTAGCCCAGAAACATTAATGCATGTATCAGACAGAATACACGGGATACACTTCAAATAAAATAAGCTATGCTAAAAGTTACATTGGCTAAATGGCTTAATTTGTTATTTTTAAAGAGACAAGTATAATTAATTATAATTTGCACTTACAAATTGCATAAATAACATTACAGTGTTTCCCACAGACTTGCACTCTATTTGTGGCGGCATATATATATATATATATGAAAATTCATTCTCTGCCAGCAGGAGGCGCTGTTGGAGTGATAGAAATCGAGGTTTCCACCGTAACGCTGTACACAAAGCAGAGCTCAACTCACAAACGCTGCATTATCAGACATTACAAGCAAGAAGAAATGAAAACGAGTTTCCTTCAGAAATAGTTTTATAAAAACACCCGCACCGGGTTTCGATTTTGAAATGTGCAGCGCTCATGTTTATTCAACATGTGCTAGCATGTTCCTCTCAAAGTCAGCCTGTTCTGTGAGTTAGTGGAGAACAGCAGCTAGAGGCTAATTTAATGACATTAAAGTTAGTTAAGATGATGGAAGCTCACCTGATGTTAGCACCGCTACGAGGCAGTCACAAGACTCCGACACACCTCCGATGCAGACATGACCACAAACTTGAAAATAAAA